ATATATATAGTTGACTTAAAAAAACTTGATTTATTCAGCTAATTTTTTGTAATTTCTTTATTGCAATGTTCATACATTATTTTTCTCTGCGATGTCATAGTTAGTGAGTAGGTGTATTAACATCTTAAGAATTTATGGACAATCTTGCATATATATCTTTTGTTATAGTGAAAATTATTAAAATATATTTGAGATTTCATTTGTTGGCAAAATATTCCCAAAAAGTTTGTTTATGACAAAAATATTCCCAATATTTTTATATCATCACTATAGTTGTTCAGAAATATAAAATAATCACAATAGTAGAGTTTGTTATTTCTTCAATCACCATTAGATTTATGATATAAATATGATTAGATTTAGAGGGAAACATGCTTCATTAGTATTAAATAATATAATACTCATCTAGAGCATATGAATACCAAGACAACTATGCTTTGGTATGTTCAATTGTAAGAAATTAAGTTCGAAGATTATTTGAATAATAATAACGAAGCATCACTTAAAACCTAAAAGAAAAAACCGCAACTAATGCAAATATTAATACACTAAAAAGAAATCTAGAACTGGTGTGTCTGCTCGTGTGGAGATGGTCCTGCAAATGACAAATCAAAACATGTCATACAAAAATAGCAATGGGTGAGTTTGAGAAATCAAATTCAGTAAATAACCACTATTTAAGAAAACATAAATGACAAGAAACTAAAGTATTCAGATGAATGTTTGAGATTATTGATTTAGATGAATTCATTATCCATTGGGTCATGGTGATGAAAGTCAGGACAAGTGCTAGTGAGAATTTTGTCAAATTGAATTGCCAACCTATGTTATATCACGATTAACCTTAAAAAGGAAAGCGCTGGTTGCGCGTGACTCTTAAGGTGACATAAATATAAAAAGATCAAAGTCTAGTTGTAAGATATGTAAATGCATAGGAATTGTGTGGTATGCATTTAAATCCAAAACTATATGGAGAGATTTGTAGTTTTTCATGTAATTAAATAATGTAATTTATACCCATTTAGGTCAAACAAAGCAAAAAGATCTCATAAATGTTGTAATTTATAAATACTTGTAATTAAATAATCTATGAATCAATTCCACAGCCTAAATTTGATGCAAAAAGCTATATCCACATGAAAATCAACTAAAGGGTGCAAATATCAAACCCTAAACCAAAGAATGGAAAATTGAAGTCAAAGCAAAGGAGACATTGATGTTGACGAGCCTCCACAAGTTGTTTTTAAAGGGAGGTGTACTCAAAATATTCAAACAATTAGCATCACGTAAGAAAACATTATTAAATTTGTTACTCTTATTAAAAAAGGAGGACATTTACATACAATCCACACAAGTCTTATGTATTTGCATATCTAACCTCTAAACTTTCATACTTATATGCTTATCATTCAATTCTATAATATCTCGTAAAAATATCACTTTTTAAAATTTCAAAGTGAAATGAAGACTTTCATGCATAGATTTATAACATCATGGTGTTATAAATGTGTTGAATTTGAGATTGTCCGTGAATCACACCTAAGGAATAGAACATATATAAAGAAAGAGAGAGAGAGAGAGATGAATAATAATGAATAGTGGTTGATGGTGTGTGCTATTTATAAAATTTTTTCTCTATTTATAGAAGAGATAGTACAGTTATGATATTATATTTTTATTTCTATTTGGAAGAAGTCTTCATTAGGGTATTCCTGGTATTTTACAAGTGTGGGCTTATTGTCGACTAACTTTTGACTCGGCCAACTAAGCTTAGTTGATTTCGATTCGATGAAGTGAACTCGATCAGTCGAGCTTGGTCGATATGGTTTAGTTAGCCGATCCAGACTGGTTGACTTTCTTCGATCCCCAATGAGGAGTCTTTGGGGTCTCAGCGGTATGGTCTGAGATACTTTATGAAACTAGATCTTCCTTTGAATCGACTCAACTAGGGGATAGACTATTATATCAACCTGACTTTCTTGTAGTGAATGGCTTGAACGCTCTTATTTTCAGTTTGATGGCTCATTAATGCTTGGATTAACCTGTCTATTTCTTGCCCTCCTTTGGGCTCGGTTGGTTTTGGCCTAGTTGGATTGACTCGTATGGTTTTACTAGTTCAATCAGGTGGGTCTCACGATCTCCTCGCAGTGGGTCTGCTTCCGTCGTACTGTTCTTTTTTTAACCATTAGATCTTTTTTTCGATCAGTTTGGACACCTTATTGATGTGCAAAATGTAAATATAAAAGCATGGGAGTTAGATGTGTAATACATTGGAATTGAGTGGTATGTATGCAAAAAGTAGTTGGTAGGAAATCTATCCAATATAATGATCTATCATAATTATTCTGTTTTGAACGCTATTTTGTCCACCAATTGAATTCCAAATTTCTAAAGATGTTTGGCGACAATGAATGTGTTAGATTGGTCGATTCCGTTATTCCAAGCCAAGTCATAATTGGTTTGTTCTCATGCGTGGACTTTGGATTAGGTTAATCACTTTTTAATTATCAATTAAAAAATTAATCAAGTTGGTCCAATTATTCAAAATTTGCTCAATTTAAGAGTCAAATTAACATGGTTGTACTTTGTGATATATGCCATATTTTTATCTATTTGTTGAAATTTTTGATGCAAATAAGTCTTTTTTTTATTATTATTTTATATTAAATAAATTACATAAACTTATTTCAATTTTTTTTATTTTTTTATTTTTTTTCCTAAAATAAGGAATGACTCGCCACTATTATATAAGCCTCCAGCCACCCCTAATTTGTCTAACAATTCGAGTACAACATCCTTAAAAATCAACTTTGTCAGAATGAATTCGAACCCCGACTTGAGAGGTTTTATACCGTGAATGCCAACCAACATGTTAGACTATGCGGTACAAATAATATACATATATATATATATATATATATATATA